ACTAAACCAAAGACAAGGACTACTTCATCTGGGCTGCAAAAATCCAGATGTTCACTAGATGCCAAGAAAGACATAGAGCAACACAAACTCTTTGCTGCACTATAGTGGTTATCCAGTTTGAAGCCCATGTATTGTAGCTCTGCCAAAGATGGTTTATCTTCAGCAATGGTGGGCAATTTGCCCCCATTTCCTTCCTTCCAATGGAACAGTTATTCTCTTGTATGCACAATTTTTTTCACCTGTAGGCTCTTCTTTGTTATCATACTGCTCATGAATATAATTCCACAGACTTCAGTGGCACTCTGTAGCATAATTCCTTTCAGATTGTTTGAAGCACTCCTACATCTTCTTCCCTTATGTCCACTTTCCATTCATTCTGTTGGGAAATTGATCTATATTTTTTATAAGAGACATGCATTTTTCTTCCTGCAGTGGTTTTACTTTCACTCTCAGTTTTTTCACTTCTTTCCTTTTCCTCTGTGCCCATTTTCCGAAGGCCCATCCTTGACACTCCCAAATAAACACTTGACCTACATTTAGAACCTCCCATCAGCTTTGGGTCTTTCACAGATTCTCTCAATCTTACATCATGGATATTCAGAATAATTTTGCTTTAGATTGATTTTCATTCCTTTCCCATGTGTACATATGAATAGATTTAGGCTTATGCCACGTCTTTGAAAGAGACAGGTCTTTTTCTAAGCAGAAGCATATTAAAGAGTTAACATTTTCATTATCTCATTCACACCTCTCCGTTCATGCCACTTAACAGAATATGTTTTTTCCTTGAAGTGAATTTTTTCAGAAAATTATTAATAATATTTTTTTTCTTTTTCCATTATCACTATTCACTAAAGTAAGATTTTTCTTAAGTTCCTTGTCAAATCTACCATATGGTGGTTTTTAGTTGGTCCCATAAATATTGACCTCCACTTCCCATCATAATGTTGGTTAATTGTGGATTTTACATATTTTTTCTAGTAAGCTAAAGAAGGAGTAGTTTAGATTATCAGGCTTAGTTTTACCTTTGCAACAAATAACATTTCTTGTTAATGGTGAAAACAACACTGGTCAGTTCTGATCCTTTTTGGCTAGTATGTCACAAGTGCAACCAAAGCTCAGTTTTACACTGAGCAGCTCATGCTACTCTCTGCAAACTAGGTTCTCTAATCCACAGATGACCAGGAAAGCCAACATACTGTTGTCCATATATCACCAGCTGGAAATACATACAATGTACTGGAACCTAATCATACTGATGTACTCTGTTGATATTAAGAGTTATTGAAGCTTTGCTTGAACATGCTGAAGGTCTCTCTGTGACAAATTTAAGTTTGCTTGAACATGCTGAAGGTCTCTCTGTGACAAATTTAAGTTTGCTTGAACATGCTGAAGGTCTCTCTGTGACAAATTTAAGAAGTATTTCAAGGATGCTTTAGAATAATTTCACCAAAGAAACTTTATCACCTAATTAACTCGGTTTTCATCTAATTCCACCTTCAGCTTACTGCGAAGTATGGACCTATATTTACTGTCTGGATCGGATCAAAACCAATGGTTGCACTTTGTGGATATGAAGTGGTAAAAGATGCTTTGCTAGATCATGCGGAAGAGTTTGGTGGGCGAACTGAAACGCCCGTGAATAGGCGGTTGTTCCAAAATAAAGGTTGATTTTCTTTTCCTTATTTGTTATTGTTTGTTTCTATAATTTATTTCAGATTATCTAAATGCCATTAATATTTTTGATAGTTGTGAAAGTTTCACTTAAAATGAGGTTTTGTAAAGATGTTGAATTGGTCATGGTTCTTGGAGAGGGAGGAAAACATTGTTTCACTATTTCCCTTCCACTGGTCACTTCTGAAGTCTGCTCAGGTGGTTCCTTATGTGCAGGGGGAAAAAAATCTCATCTCTAAACTGGTCCTTTAGGAAGACACACAGAAAAGCTTTTCAGAAGAAGACACTTTTGGCTGATGTCATCTGGACTAATGTCAAAAATTCATTTTGTGTACCTTCAAAAGAAATTTGGACTTTGAAAAGTAGAATAGAAAGAATATTGATGGATTTGAACTTTGATGTTGGAGAAGATTGCTGAGAATATTGTGGACAGCCAAGAAAACAAACAAATGGATCATTGAACAAATCAGCCCAAAGTTATCACTCGAAGTACAAATGACCAATCTCAAATTTCCATACTTCAGACAGATTGTGCAAAGGCCCAGCTCTCTAGAGAAGGCTGTAATGGTGGGAAAGGTGGAAGAGAGATGAAGAAGAGGATGGCTATCCACAAGGTGGATGGACTCAGTTACAATGGTGATGAGTGTACCATTGGCGGTCTTGAAGGACTAGGTTAGGGACAGATCATCATGGAGAAAATCTATGTGGTTGCTAAGAGTTAACAGCGACACATAATCAAGTAATCAAGTGAAAGCTCTTCTGCACAAAATCACCAGAACTGAAGCAACTCCAATTTCCTTCTGCTTCTTCTGCTTACTGAAAATTGCATCTCAGTACAGAATTCTGTCGATGTCTTAAAAGTGGGGAGGGAAAATATTGTGATGCACAATTTATTGCAATGCACTGCCCTGTTTCAGCTATGAATGAGGCAAAGATCTGAAGGGGGAAAGTGCCTGAAACCATCATTGATATGTAAACATGCTCCTCCACAAAGGCTGAGAACTGACTGACCTCGTGATCTCTTTTCAGATGGTGCCACCAGTTATGACAACCAATGGAGAGAGCTGCGACGGTTCACACTGTCCGCCTTGCGAGATTTTGGGATGGGGAAGAAAAGGATGTCTGAGAGGGTGCAGGA